AAAGTGTTGGTGTTCACTAAAGTATTTTTAAAAATTAAATAACAGAAGGAAGGTGATCAGTTGATGGTGTTTCCGTTTTATTTGGGAGAAAGAAACAGGTGCAGGGTCAATAATGTGTCCAAAGTCTTAATTAGTGTTTGGAACCAAGGTTAAGTTCCAGAATTACTGGTTTCTAACCCATTATCCTTTTTTCTTCTCCGTACACCTTTCTGCAAGGAGTTAGTTTAAATGTATCATAGGCTCTTATGTACACAGTGCTGCGCATTAGGTTTCTTGAAAGGACATAGACATATAAGTTAGGGTTTCTTTCCTTCAGGAAATGACAAAGCTTTAGGAAATTAGGATTTAGTTATATGTACACCATTAAATAATGATACAAAATAATATTCCCAGTAAATAATGCAGGCATTGCACGTTTGGGAATTAAGGTGACATTAGTGAGGTCTAGACTTGTGCAAGAGGGCTGGCTGAGCTGCAGCTGAACTTTGAAGCCTGGGTTTAGAGAAAAATGGGAAGATCATTTCAGGTGGGAAGACATAAAATTGGAAAAAGTGTGGAAGAGGGAGTAACCTGTACCCTTGCTACACAAAGTGTGGCCAGACCAGCCTCTTTGACCTCAGCAGAGCTTGTTGGAAATGCAGACTCGGTCCCTCCCCAGCCGAGGGATTCCAACTGCGCGGTGGAGTCTGGGAGGTGCCCACACCACCTGCCTGCGTGGTGCTATGACTGCTGGCTGAAGAAACAGGCCATTTCACCCTCGAAGTGGGTTAGTTAGATATGAATGGATTAGGTAGGGATATACGACTAGTGTCCATTCTTACAAGAATACATGAAGTTTATTGAGGTTCTGATTCGCTGAAAGTTTACTAGAGCTGAGGGCCAGACTCAGGTTTATAGATTCCATGTACTTTTCACACCACACAATAAGAAGTCATATCTGGGGAACTGAATGGGCAGCATAAAGCTTGAGTGTAGACTAGGCAGCAACTGGGCCATGTGGTGGGAGGTAGAAAGCTAGGCTACTTTCATTTGCCCATTCATAGGAATTGACCCGAAGAGTTTCACGAGAAGAGTCTCGGGGAGACCAATCAGGCAGAGGATTTGAGCTGGGAAGAAACAAAACTTAGAGATACCAGTTATTCAGAACACAAAAGCTAAATTTTTTTTTTTAATTTAAAAATACGTAGTATCAGTAAGTCACCCCCAAAATATTTATGGCATACTCTCTTTGTGCTGGGCATCAGGCATTTGGTTTGGCCTTCATGATTTGGTCTTGCTCATGTAATGCTTTTGGTTGAATCACTTAGATAACTGAGTACCAAGTGCCCGAAAGACTGACAATAATGACAAGAATAAAATCATCTTTGATTTTTCCTGTTTCTTTTTTTCTCTGAAGAAAGCTTTGGCCCCAAAGTTAGGTGGCTCCCCGTCTCATCCTGCTTTTGCTATTAGTGTTATGGGGAACCTTGAATGATTCACTAATCGCTCTGTAGCTCATTTGTCCTGCTTATAACATAAACATCCTATTTACCATGACTTCATAGATGAGATATTGTGATGAGATCATTATGGGAGACATTTTTGGTTTCCTGAGTATTATGAAAGCTTATAATGCTGTTAAGTACAAAATCACTTTTAAAACCTTCACTTTTTGAAACTTCAAAAATTTTAATCTCCTAGTGCATTTTGGTCACTTTCCTCATTATAATTACGTTGAGAGAGAGAGAAAGCCCCAGCCATCTGTGGCTCTTGTCCGCCTTCCCTGGAGATAGCGCTGGAGGAGATAATGATGTATTTGAGGTGTTGTTCGTCCCACCGCAGGAGAGTGGAGGGTGGTTTCTCATTGTGCCTTGCAGGCCCATCTGCTGATGGGTGCGATTCATTAGACAAGAATACGTGGGCGCCTGTGTGCCCGGCGGTTGTAGAGTAACAGCAGAGAGGATGAGAAGCCTGTGCTCTGGGGAAAGAAGCAGGATGAGCTGTGACAGTCACAGTCGAGGAGGAAAACCGCCCCTGTCTCCCCAGTGTAGGTGGAGCATCCCCATGACTGGGTGGGTGCCAAACCTTGGACTCTGATGACCACATGGCCCATGTCTGTGGCTCTGGGGTAGAGGACCTCATAGTAATCTCTATGCTGAGTTTAAGCATCACCTTTTACCTTTCACCTTTCACCTCACGGTGCCCCTTCCATAGTGTTTATTACGCAGTAGCAGAGCTGCCTGCCTCCTCCGTCTCCCTTACCTGTAGCAAAACCAAGCAGGACCCAGCGTGTCAGAGAAGACAGAGAGGCTGGTGCCGTCTTAGGGAGACCGCACTACATAGAAGAGCTGCATGTTTCTGATCCTTGTAACATGAAGCCGCGGCCCCGCGTGTTCTGTTGAGGTGCGTGCACAGGGCGGGCAGCAGAAACCGTGCAAAGGGAGGCTAGAAAAGATGAGAGGTGGAAAGTGCCTATTCAACCTTCAGCTTGTTAGAATCCAGCTGATTAATACAGATGGTACCGACTCACTAGGTCTCCCTGCTCCCCACAGCATGAATCAGCATATGGCACTACCACCTCTTTGGTTTTCGACTGCTTTCTAGGCATCGTGGTTTCTGCCCAGAATGGCACCTGCACAGTGAAACGTGACTCAACTTTGGCTGTAAGGTATAAAAGGCATGTAATAAAGCATATCGAGGCTGATCCTGCTGAGGATAGTCCTCCTGACCCCCCCCCCCGCCCCAAAAAACATAAAAACATGCCTCAGATTAGGGACCCTTTGGAGCATTTCCTCTCTCACCTAGGACACTGCTTATTCTAGAGCCATCCAGATACAAATACAATGGGTTAATGTTTTCAACAGCAGTTAGAACAATGCCTGGCCCATATTTAGCATGAGAGGAGTGTTCACTGTTATTATTAGTGTTCGATCCTGGTCATTCATTCATTCATTCATTCACTTGGTGAGTGTATGATGTCATGTATCTGGGCCCTGAGTTATTTGCTTTGATAGCCCAAGGGTGAATTAGATTGAGATCTCACCATTAGGGAGAGGATATTCCAGTAGGAAAAAATAGGCAAGCAAATATATAAATATAATTCAGTGAAGAAAATGATACAGGCTCTAAGAAAGGTCTAGATGGAGCTATTGGGGGATGAGCAGAAGCAGGAGGGGGCTACTGGAGAAGCTGGAGAGGAAGGCAGGATGGTGAGGGGGTGCATCTGAGTTGCATCCTGGGGGATGGGAAACGCTCGGACATTTACAGCAGGAGGAAGTGCTTTCTAGGCAAGTGACTGGTGGGAGCTGGAGCAGAAAAGACCTTACACATCTGGAGAGAAAATAGCTAGCTTGCCTTGCTGGATTGAAGGCTGTGCATTTACCAGAACAGTTTTGCGTCATCTCCTGAGTTTCCTTGCCCCATTTTTTTTGTTTCTTTTACCTATCAATTAAATTTCAGCAGATTATAATCGTGAGGGGCAGTTACTAAAACCAGTTCAAGTGGCTTTGTAATTATAGCTGCTGCTGAATGTATCATCAGTCTGTTCTTGTAATTATTAAGATTTCTATTCTTATAAGCTGATCGCCTCCTGTTCTAAAACGTCCCTAATAGTATGCAAATAGAGGCCAGGAAGCAATATAAATCTAGAACGTGTTTTCCTTTGCATTTTACAATAAATCTCCCACACAGGCTGACCTGTAGCAGCTTTGTGCATCTCGAGAGGCCCACAGTCATTCCGCTCAAAATAGATTGGGGCCACCTTATATCCCGTAGCCTTACCAAGAGGGGAAAAAATCACATCTTGGGTTTTACATTAGCTTTCTGTTATGACACACAATGTCATGACTTCTTTACTCTTTCCCTGACAGTAATTCCATCATCTGCTTGTGATAAATCATCCTGCCTTTGGAGCATTAGCTTATCCACTTAACAGCTGAATATGCCTCTACGGAATGGTGTGGAAGGCTCTGGGAGGTCCCCCAGGAACGGAGATAAAGCTGTTGGCAAGTCTGCCACCTTTTTGTGCCTCAGTCAATGCATCCGTCCAGTGGGGGTGTTACTATATGCTGCAGAGAAATCACATGCTTTACATGTTTTAGATACTTGTTATGTTTAAAGGTATTTTAAGACATCCCAATTAAAGATAATAGGGATAATTTCTCAAAATAAGATAGTCTCGCTGTGGAGATTTACCTCTTTTCTTCATACATTTTCAGCTTGAATCAATCATCTAACAATGAGAGCAGATATAAAAGGAAATCAAAAAGGCTGCATTGAGCTCACCTGCTTGTAAGCCCAATTGTGAATAGCTAAGGAGCCCAGAACAGTCAGAGACAAATGGCATGTGTGCTCAATAAATATTTCTTTAATGAATGAGTGAAATATTTTGTCTTTGGGGAGACAACTTTGTGTAGATTAAACAATGGTTAAGTACAGCCAAAAGTTGTAAAGTGAATATCTATTGTTGGAAGTTTGAATTTCTTTAAATTGTACTATAAGTTTTATACTATATTTGAAATTTTTACCTAGTCAAGTACATAGTATGCTTACTTGCTTTAATAAAGCACTCTCACTTGTGTGCTCCTTCTCATATATATGCTTCATATGTGTGTGTGTGTGTGTGTATTGTTTTCTGGGACATTTAACTATGCCACAAAAAGTCTTCTTGTTTTAGTGGTGAATTCAAGGCCAAGATACTCCTGGACTGTGGTGACTGCTTACCTGAACTCAGGATATAGTGTGGAGGAGAATGTTGGAATGTTAGTTTTCTAAATAAGACCCAGCAGTATTTTCCCTTCCACCCACCCAGTGTCAAGCCATCTATGTGTAGTGTCCTCAGCACGTAGAGGAAACCCTTGGAGAAAATACGAAGCTCCCTTTGAACATGTTTCTCCTTTGTTTCTGATCTGTCTGATTTCTGTGGCTCATAAAAACACAAAGCAAGAAACTGATCTCTCAAGGTTTGTGAGCTTACGGATTGTGTTCCCAGCACAGATGGTTTTGTGTGTTTGCTCCTCCAGCTCTACGTGGCCACGGAGGCCATCCTCATCGCACTGGTGGGGGCCACGCCATCCTACCACTGGGACCTGGCAGAGCTCCTGCCCAATCAGAGCCACAGCAGCCAGCGGGCCGGTGAAGACCACGCCCTCGGGGACTGGCTCCTGAGGGCCAACGGCAGCGAGATCCATAAGCACGTGCACTTCAGCAGCAGCTTCACCTCCATCGCCTCCGAGGTGAGCCCGGAACCGGTGAAGGGCCGAACGAAATGGGCCGTTGTGACCACTTAGTGAACGTGTCTCCTTGTCCAAATGGAACCACTTTTTTGTCTTGTTGATTTAAATGTCAGCCACATCTTCAAATAACTTTCTAGTAAATTTGAGAGTTAAAGGAAACTATTCCATGAAAACACATTTCTTTTTCTTTCCTACTGCAAATGGGAGAAGTATGAGTCCTACCAAACTAGTTAGATGACTAAGAGATCAACTCTAAAAGAGCTGTAGTTCAGGATAGTGTCTCCTTAAAAAGTGAATCAAAACTTCCAGGTTTCCTTATGCAGACACAAAAATTAACAAAGTAAAAAGAGAAATGGAATAACCCATCTGTAACATCCATGGTTCATGTTTAAGTTCAGTCCCATGTGTAGACCACGTGGGGAACCTTGACTACACAACCTCAAATACAAACGCACCACCTCGGGTGGGCAGGAGCCTTACTTTCAAGTGGGGCTTTGCTGGCCAAGAAGGTTTTTACAAGAACAGTACCTTCTGAGCCAGCCAGAGGTAAATAAGCTGAGGGTAGACAGTTTGATGAAGAGAGATCCCAGGATGAAGGGGCAGGGTTCATGCTCGGCTGGAAAGCACCTGTGCTGGCTGTTAACATGTTAAAATATTCTATGTCCTTTGCCCGCTCCCCACAAGCTATCCATTTGCTCACTGCCATCCTGGAAGACCCCCCACAATTCAACATTTTTTGAGTTTTTATCATGAATTTGTATTGAATTCAATCATATACATCAATTTGCCATTTTCTACATGAATTGCAATGATTATGTGATTTTTCTTTATTACCTTCTAACATGGTAGATTATACTAACTGATTTTTAAATATGAATCAGCCTTGCATCTCTGGATGGCATATAATTATTTGTATATATTGCTGAATTCTATTTGCTAATATTTGCTAAAGATTTTGGCTTCTATATTCATGAAGTTTTCTTGTACTGTCTTTGTCTGGTTTTCTTATCAGGGAAATACTAGCTTTGAATTACAAAGGGTTTCTGTTTTCTTGAGGAGACTGTAGAATTGACATTAGTTCTTTATACATTTGGTAGAATTCTCCATTGAAATCACCCTGACCTGTAGATTTCTTCTTGGGGAGATTTAAAATTATGACTTCCATTTTATTAATGATCATAGGGCTATTTAAATGCTCTATTTTGTATTGTGAGTTTGGCAGTTGGGCTTTGCAAGGAATTGGCCCATTTCATCTAAGTTGTCAAATTTATATGTGTAGAGTTGTTCATAGTATGACCGTATTGTCCTTTTGATGCCTTCAGAGTCTGAAATGATATTCCCTCTTATTAACTGATATTGGTAACTTGTATCTTCTCTGTTATTTAATTACTTGTCTGCCATGATAGAGGCTTGTCAATTTTATTGATGTTTTTAAAGAACCAGCATTTTGTTTCATTGGTTTTTCTCTCTTGTTGTTCTGTTTTCAATTTTATTGATTTCTACTCTGCCCTTTATTATTTTCTTCCTTCTCCTTGCTTTGGGTTTATTTATTTTTTCTTTTTAAGGATTGAAAGGTAGTAGTTTAGATTATGGGTGAAGAGTCTTTCTCATTACAAAATAAGCATTTAGTGCTATAAATTTCCCTCTCAGGTTGGCTTTAGCTGTGTGCCACAAGTTTTGATATGTTGTAATTTTATTTTTATTTAGCTTAATGTATTTTTTTTCTCTTCGAGATGTCCTCTTTGACCCATGGATTATAGGTTGTTTAGTTTCCTAGTATTTGTAGATTTTCCTATTAGCTTTCTCGCTCTCTCTTTTTTAAATCCTTACCCATGAACATGTTCATTGATTTATAGAGCGAGGGGAAGAGAGAGAGAGAGAGACATAGATCAGTTGCCTCACTACATGCTCCAACTGGGGATCAAACCTGCAATCTAAGTATGTATCCTGACTGGGAATTGAACCCATGGTCTTTCAATGTATGGAACGATGCTCCAACCAACTGAGCTATACCAGCCAGGGCACTTTCTCTTTTGATTTCTAGTTTGATTTTATTGTGGTCAGAGGATACACTCCATGTGATTTCAATTCTTATGGCCCGGGATTTGGTGTCTCTTGGTATGTGTCCCATTGGCACTTGAACCAAATGTGTGTTTTTCTGCTGTTGACTGAAGTGTTTTATAAATATTATTTAGATCCTGTTGGTTGATGGTGTTATTGAGTTCTTCTGTATCCTTGCTGACTGTCTCCCTAATTGTTCTATAGATTGTTGAGAGAGGAGTGTTGTATCTTTAATTATAATAGTAAATTTATTGATTTCTCTTTTTAATATTTTTAGTTCTTGTTTCACATAGTTTACGGCTCTGTTGTTTGGTGTATACATATTAATAATTGCTATGTCTTTTTGATGGATTGCCCTTTCTATCATTTTATAATGTCCCTCTCTGTCCCTAGTAATTTTATTTGTTCAAAGATATGCTTTATCTGATACTAATATAGCCACTTCTTTTCTTTAATTAGTGTTAGCATGAGATAGAATTTTCTTTTTTTTTACTTTCAACTTGCTTATATCATTAAGTGTAAAATTTGTTTGTTATAGACAGCACATAATTGGGTCAGGTTTTTAAAACTACACCACCAGTCTTTGTCTTTACTTATGTATTTAGATAATCTACACTTACTGTGATTATATTTTAGGGCATACCTCTTCCATTTTATTTATTTACTTATTTATTTTAATCTTTTATTTATTGATTTTAGAGAGAGGAAGGGGGGGAGAGAGAGAGAGAGAGACATCGATTTGTTGTTCCACTTTTTATGCATTCCTTGGTTGATTCTTATCCTTGTATGTACCTTGATGGGGATCGAACCCACAACCTTGGCATATTGGGATGATGCCCTAACCAACCGAGCTACCTGGCTAGGGATATTTTTTGCCTTCTGTTTGTTCTATTTTTTCTTTTTCTCTCTTGTTTTTCCTGACTTACTATAGGTTACTTGGATGTTTTTTAGAATTTCGTTTTGACTTATGTATAGTTGTTTTTACTATACCTCTTTGTATAGTCTTTTTAGTGATTGTTCTTGGCATTATATATTATATTACATAGACACACATACATATGTAATTTATCACAGTCTACTGATATTGTCAAATCACTAGTTCGAGTGACCAGAAACTCCCTCACTTTACATTCCTTTGTCCTCCCGTTTACAGTATAGTTACCTGGAAGCTTTCCTACCTACTTTTAGATCACTTTGCAGAGTGTTACAGTACATTAAAAAGCGCCCCCCAGCCCTGGCCAGTTTGGCTCAGCGGTTAGAGCGTCGGCCTGCGGTCCCGAGAGACCCGGGTTCGGTTCCCGCTAAGGGCACGTACTTCGGTTGCAGTTTGTCCCCGGCCCTGGTTGGTCGTGCGGGTGGCAGCCACTCGATGTGTCCCTTCACGTCGATGTTTCTCTCTCTCTCTTCCTTTCTCTCTCTCCCTCCCACTCTGTCTGTGCAAAAAATGGAAAAGTGTCCTCAGGTGAGGATTAAAAAAAAAAAAAAAAAAAAGCGCCCCCTGGACCTGTGGGTGGAGCAAGCAGGCTCTGTTGGGGCTTCTTTTATTGTTCTCTTAGCATTTCCACGTCACTGGCTTTCCTGGCCCCTAGCCTGGGTGTGTAAGGCAAAGAGAAACCCCGGGAGCTCATCACTGTGTTATTCCTTGGGTCCAGGGTCCCTACTTGTTCGTCCCCCCACCTTCCAGAATTGTCCTTCATTTGTTTTATATATAATGTCCAGGGTTTTCGTGGTGCATGGTGGGCTAATAGGAAACACTCTTCCTGGAGGTGAAAGTCTTCTTGTGTCCTTTTGACATGCCCATCATTTTTTTGAGCACATCAGAATTTCTTGGCATAACACGATATCCCAGGTCCATCTTGCACTTTCCCGGCCCAGCTGTGGAAAGTCATTTCTCCAAGGAGCCCTGGTTCTGTTGATTGCCCCACCAGGGTTTTGAAATGGTTGAGAGCAATAAGTCTGCTCACCAACAATCTCATTACCACCCAATGATAGCAAATTTCACACAAAGTCTGCCATGCATATAAACCCACACATATAAGCACTTCTTCACTAAATTCTTTCTGTCTTTGATTAAAATAGTGACCTGTTGACTAGCAGTGATGCATTTTAAAAATGGGTTGTCCCTGATGAAGCACAAAATAAACTGTCTTGCTGGCTTGAGAGGTCCTACCTAGGTTTCATCAGTGTCCCCACCTGCTTGCATGACAGGTCCCTGGAGACAAACTTGTTTGCTATAGTCAGTGTGCTGACGTACCCCTCCAGCATGAAGCACACAGGATCTTCCACAGGTCATACTGGTAAGGGCCCAGGAGGAGTTTAGCCTAGGAAATCCCCTCTGTGGATAAAGAGTGCAGACCACACTGGATTGTCTCATAAATTCATGGAAGGGTAGTGCGTGTCTAAAATATATCAGGCCAATCCATGTATTGTGAATGCCTTGAACTTCACCAGGGATGGCCCATTTTTAAAATTCATCATTGCTCGTCAACAGGCCAGTATTTTGATCAAGAACAAGCGATGCACCGTTGTTGATAGGGACGCTGACTGAGAAGCCCTTGTGGAGGTTCGTCTGGAGAAGAGGCTTTCTGAAGGGAAGGCCAGCTGCCCACTTCGCAGCTCGATCAGAATGCTCATGGGACTGGGGTGAAAGTCCGGCCTAAGGAACATTTATGCAGAACTTCCCACAGTATGTGCTTAATACTTTAAATGAAATAACCAGCAACACCAAGCTTCAGCACAACAGGCTTCAGCACACTTCAGTGGAGTTAAATTAAAATAATACTAATGAAATCTATACTGAGGAGCCCTTTTAGGTATCACCAGAGGGACACCATTATTAGCAAATGTTTATTGAGCAGCTACTACTTGCCTGATGCTAGAGAAGGCCTTGATACAAGGAGGGAGACTGTTGTATCCGAGGCTGCAGGACAGAGGCGCCC